TCCTTTGCAGGCTGATAGAGTTCCAGCCTGCAAGGAGCTGCTTGCTTGGAGCCCCCTCATGCCCCATATCCCCCCGGCTGGCGCCCCCCCCCCCCCCCCCCCCCCCCCCCCCCCCCGGGCCTGGGGGCAGCAGGTTGGGAGTGAGGGGCACTGGGTCAAGACTGCCCACCAACGTTTAAAAATGGATTCTTGTACAAAAAAAGCTTAAGAACTGCTGGTCTAGTCTACCCTCCTGCTCTAGGCAGGATCATCTCTTCTAAACCATCTCATCCAAGAGTCTGTCTAATCTGCTCTTCAAAACATCCAAGGATAGAAGTTCCCCGGTTCCAGTGCCCAGCCACCCTTGGAGCCAGAAAGCTCTTCTTAATATGCAACCTAAGTTGCACTTTAAGCTGGTTACTCCTGTGGCCGTGGGGAACAGTCTGTCACTCCTCCTCTATATAACTACCCTTCACGTGCTGGAAACCAAATCTGGCTAAACCTAAATTTCTTTTTGTTGGAAAGGTTCCAACTTAGCAAGCAGTCTTGACCCTTCTGTTTGAGCGTCCCATTTTCCTCATTATTTATCCCCATGCCAGTCTCTTCATCAGTGGGAAAGTTCAGTGGTAGTGATTTCATCCTGACACCCTGGTCACCAATGAAAATACTGAATCGGATATTTCATCAGAACAGACACTTCCCTGGGAAAAACATTAGGTATGTATAAGGGAACTTGTAGATTGGGGGGCACTTCTGAGCTTTGAGGGTATGCCCCAGTGACCATAAAGGGCACATCTACATGAGACACTTTATGGCACATTAGCCTAAATTTAAGGTGTATTAGGACGTGTGTGTACATGTGCGTGCCCTTAATGTGCCTTAAAAATGGTGATGTGGGGCTAATTGTGCCTAAATGCGGGTATCAAATTGCGCCTAAATGTAGGTATCGAGTTTAGGCGCAAATAGTTAAAGTGCATTAACGCACATGTAAATGTGTTAAAGCACATTAACTCTGTGTGTGTGTGTGTGTGTGTGTGGACTGACGTGGGACCACCTTTAGTCCACATTAAGGACTAACTTTATTCCCAAGTCAGTCCACACAAAATGGTAATGCATTGTAACGCCTGCACATGTAGACGCCTGGCTAAACCCGTTTAATGCAGATTAAATTTAGGCACTCTTACATGCACATATAGACACACCCAAAAACTCTGAAAGATTTTCTCTTCAAAATTTGGAAACCTGGTTGCATACCAACCAACCCTCTCGAGCATTTTCCAGGCAGTGTCATGCTGCATCTATGAAGAGATAGAGGTAATCATACAACCATAGAGATGTAGGGCTCCAGAGGTCATCTAGTCCAACCCCCTGCCTGAGGCAGAAATATCCCTATCTAAGCCATCCCAGACAAACCCATAACCTAAAACTCAGTAAAGCTACCGTCAGCCCTGACCCAACACAAGACATCACATCCAAACCTGTTTTAGGTAAGGACCACAGTGGCTAACATCCTGCTTTTGTATAAGGTTGCTAACATGTGCTCCAGACATGTCCCTGCCATGATCCTACTTGCAACATCACATGAACACAACTGTATTGTTTCTGGGTGGCTACCCCCCGAACTGCAAACAATACAGCTCTGTTCAGGTGGTACCGCCACTGAGCTGACTGGCCATGCTCTACAGAGTGATGTAGGCAGTTATATTATGAGCCAGGTCCTGAGGCTGGTAGCAGACCTAGGGTCTTTGCATTTTGGGCTGGGTTCTGGGTGTGGGTACCCCAATGTTGGCCATGGTTATTAGCATCATTAGAATTTGATCTTACAGCTCCATCACAGGCCTCCACTAGCCACGAAGCACACCCATTTGAACATATATAATGTCCTATCCAGTAGCAGGTAGAAACAAATCAACCACGTGCCATTCTGTCTGGCACGTTCAGATGAATATTTCCCACCCACTGCAGATGAAGTTTCATGGAGCAACGCTACTTCTCTGCTGCTGCTGCAGAAGTATTTGCAGATAGAAAGCCTCTGTTACGAGCCCCCTTGTAAAACACCCTTGAGCCATTCCCCATTCTCCACGGCCCGCTGAAAGCCTGCCCATTAGCAGAAACATCTGGCCGGTTTTGTGGCCAAAGCATAATGCTTATGTAATGGGGTAAATCTTGTGCTTAGCATTTATACTTCAACACCGGCAGGTACATAAAACCCATCGTGCTTCAAATGAAGCATTCTGCCTGGAATAAATGGCCGAAGCAGTGTAATTTGAATAGCTTTGTCAGTGCCAGGGAAAAAATAGCCGATGCCTATGGATAGATTTGCTCAGTTACAGCAGTGCTTCTTAGCCTTGTCAGACTCAAGACCCCTCATCAGACTCCAAACCCCCTTATTAGACTCGAGACATCTCTCGGAAAATGCCAGCTGTCAGTTTTCACTTGTTTCTTGACGACAGAAAAATATTAAAGCAATTCTTGCAAAGAACTCAGCAAGCCCATAACAGGGCAGAATAGCCTTGACACTCTGGTCTCCTATCTGAAATCTCTGGGTTTATCTTGTGAATGATGTGCAGGTGTCTGCACCCATTGCTAATATCGTGTGGCACCCCACGGCACCCTTAAAAGGATCTCGGGGCACTTTATGGTGAGAATCAGTGAGTTACAGAAACCCAGGCCCCCTGTTTTGCACACCATTGCAACCCTCGGTGACTTTAGTGGAATGGGACTTAGCTTACAGAGGCAGAAAACAGATTGCATGTCTGTGAGATCTGCATTATTTGTGTGATTCCCAACCTCTGCTGAATAGACTAAACTTGATACTTTTGCCTTTGGGGGCTGGTACTGTATGGCTATGGTTGCCAACAATCAACTACTTGTTACAGCCTCCGTAGCGTACATCAGACCCCCACTTCATGGCCAGCTGAGCTGATCTCCTCCAGGTCCAATAATCACCGTGAAAACCTCAATGCGTGCTAACACCAGTGTCTGAAGGGTGTAGCAAAGGTAACAGCCCTGGAAACCAGGCAGAAGCTGGTGAAACTGGTTGCTTTGCCAGTGCCCCAGAGGCCAGCTTTGCCTGGGGAAGCATTCAAGGCTTGGTAGTTAGGAGATGGTTGTTCCTTGCCTGTGGTCACCGCACTGGTTCACTGGGCCGCTGCTTTCCCTTCACTCCTCCAGGGGTTTTGCTGGCTTTGAGGTATGATCTTTTCCTATCTGCAGTCAACATCTCTCACTTTGCAGAGCTTTGCAATGCAGTCCAAGCCCATGAGGCATGAATAGCTTCATAGCATAACATACACTGTCAATTTAGGACCCCAGAATACCCCATGTGTAACCCGGAGGGCGTCCTTGACTTCACCCAACGCAGAGGCAGTGTGGTTTAGGGGACAGCGTAATAGACTGGTACTTATGAGACATGGGTTCGATCTCTCATCTAGCCTGCAGGGTGATTTTAGGCAACTCATTTTATTGCCCCAGCCTGAATTTCCCCATCTGTAAAACAAGGAGTGCAACGATACAGGACCATTGGAGTGAGAATCAAAAAGTGATCAGGGCTTGTTGAGGACGGGGGGTGCAGAAGAAGGGGAGCGGGAGAATGGAGCCACAGACGTAGCCCAAGCCAATCACTTGTGCATGTATGAAGTCATTATAAGTGAATTAAAGAGACTAAAGGTAATATAAGCATCCACGATTCTACTAGGTCCATGCATCCCAAATACGACAAGGAGAATGAGACAGATCTGTTTGGTAACGCTCACTGAGATTTGCTGATGAAAAATGCTAACTTTGAGTTAGGCAGACAAGGTTCTTTGGGTGAATCTGGTATCTTTTATTAGACCAACTTAAATAGTTGGGAAAAAAAAAAACATGTAGCAAGCTTTGAGGTCTGCCTATATCCTTAGACCAACACGGCTACAACCTACACCCCTGTAGCTTAGAGTTCAGCATTATTATCAAACCTGCTGACAGGTTGGCCTTGGCTTTCCAGTTCCAAGTCCCACTCAGGAAAACCAGCCAGACTGACTGGATAAAGGAAACCTGGGTTGGATCTCCACTACCTCCCAGCTAATCTCTTCTACAAACTCCATGTGATCCATTGTCCCCTTATCTTCCCCACCCTCCCCAGAGGGACTGCCAGGTCCATCCAATGCAGTTCTCATTGGTAGGCACAGGGGCAGGGCTGGGGCCTCCTTTGTTGTGAACCAACAGGCTGTGAACTGATCAAAAGTGATTATGTGAAGTTGGCTGCTGTCCTGGCTAGGATTTAAAAGTTATGATCTTGTTAGAGTATTCACAGGAGCCAGTCTTCATTACCATGTTTGAAAGTACACAAGGCAGGGCAGACTTTCACCATCTGCTAAGCAGATCAAGTTAAGAGCCAGGGGAGACCCTGTTATGTGCAGTATATGCCATATATTATCTATCTATCTATCTATCTATCTATCTATCTATCTATCCTTATCAATATATAATAAAATATTGTGTCTAAATATATGTGTATCATGTTTGTATATATGACATTTATACACAAACACACGTGTGTGTGTGTGTGTGTGTGTGTGTGTGTGTGTATATATATGTAGACAAGGTCCTTAGACCAACACAGCTACAAACTACACCCCTGTGTGTGTGGGGGTGTGTGGGTGTGGGTGTGTGTAGGTGTGTATATGTGGGTGTGTGTGTGTGTGTGGGTGTATAGGTGGGTGAGTGTGAGTGTGTGTGTGTAGGGGTGTGTGTGTTTGTATATATATGTGTGTGTGTGTAGGGGTGTGTGTGTTTGTGTTTGTATATTTGTATATGTGTGTGTGTGTGTGTTTGTGTATATGTGTGTATGTATATAGGGGGGGGTGTGTGTGTGATCTTTTATTTCATTCTTTCTTTTCATATCTATCTATCCTTATCAATATATAATAAAATGTCTATATATGTGTGTATCATGTTAGCATATATGTGACATTCATATACATGTAGATCATCTTTTATTTCATTTTTTTATGATCTTATATTTCACTCTTTCTTTTCAGAGACGTCGCTCCCCATAGAAACTATGAAAACTGTCTCTTACAAGACACAGATCAAGACATTTCAATAGGAATGACAATTTACCAAATTGCTTAATGCTTCCTCTTTGAAATTGGCTTAACGCTGAAATGAATAAGACTCCTATAACCACAGACAGAGCCAGTAATGTATTTTGGAGAGTTTATGGCTGTCAGTGAAATCCAGAGGATGATCATCGCAGCTTACAGGACCGCATATACCCAGGACACCTTTGCTTTCGAGGAGCATTACAGTCAGGGAAGATTGATTGAAACAGTGGCAAAAGGTAGACGCGGAGGTGCATCTCCTCCCCTGTTCTGTCCCTGGCAGGGACCAGCCCCAGGTGCTTCAGAGGAGACTGTAAGACTCCTACAGTAGCAGAGGGAAAACCATTTGCTCCCTACTTCCTGCTCTCTAATTGTTGTCTGGAGCTCTGAGGAGCAATGCTCATTATCCCTTTCCACATGTTTGTTCGCATTAACCTTGTTAGCTACATAAATTGCAATGGCCCTAGCATTGGCTGAGATGCTCTCTGCAGTACAATAAAGGCACTTTGAAGTCTTGGGTTTGTTTGTTTTTTACAGTAAGCCTGGCATGTGATAAGACTGCAGTTCTGGGATCCAGACTGAGCACTGCAATTGCATTTGCTATCCAAGGCTGCCACCTGCCTGAGATTTAAAGAGTGCAGGTTAGAAACCATAATGCTTAAAAGCAAACACCTGATGAACAGGTGTGGCTGTCGAGCCAATGGGAGCTGGGGCAGGACTCTGATCAGACAGCCTCCCAAAGCCCTGGGAAAAATGCTTCTTTTCTGGGTGAGATAGAGAAGCCCGGTACAATCTCCTTCTGGCTAATAGCTGATGGTGCTTTTGAAACCAAGCCAAGAGCACAAGTCAATTGGTGAACCTAGATGGAAAGGCCCTCCTTGAGCCAATACTGCAGCTGAAAGCAGCATACAAGGTTGATCTGGACTGAGGGCAGGACCCAAAAAGCAGACCCTGGAGCAAAGCTGTGCACGTCCACTCGGAGGTGGGATGCCTCTGCTCCCAACCTGGGGAACCATCACTGTATCTGGAGGATGGACTCCAGAGGAGAGAGGCACCTTGCAGGAGCCAGAGGGGTGAAGCTGGTGAGGGCTGATTCTCTTAATTCTGGGTTTTTGCAGTGTTACTACTTTTCTAAGCTATCTTGCGCTGGCTGAGATCACTTTGCTCCTTGGGGATAAGCGCTACTCTGCAGACTTTCTCTCTCACTTTCACAGAATCAGTCAAATCCCTTACTTAAGTGAAAAATCAGTAGATGCATTTAAAACATCCCTTTTCTCTTTGCAACTGAACCCCCTCCTCCAATTCTTTGGCTTCCATTGATTTATTATTTGGCTGTTGAGATGGGACAGAGCTCTAGCCAGAGCTGCAGACCAGTAAATAAATGCCTCTGCCATAATGTTTCTGCTCTGCAAAAATAAACCGTGCATTGCACTGACAAACCGTTTGGTTTTGCTGGGTGATGAGTGGCTGTGTCTGTGTGTGTTTGAATTTGAGTAGCCATGGTTCAGTGATCTATGAATCAAAAATGGCCTAATGCCCCAGAGAGATTTTAGGCTTTGCTTTCAGTGGGATTTATGTACTTCAGTACTTCTAAGGAGCTGAGCTTTAGCCCTCATTACTTGTGAGAGATTCCCTTACTTGACTGGGTTTGATTCTTGCCTCCACTATTGCTACACGGTCACCAAAAACTCATTGATTGCTTGATTACACTTAAATCCTGCACCTTGGTGCATGTACATTTGTTAGATGCAACTGGCAGTTCTTGGGACTTTATTCTGAGTCGTCTTTTCCTTTCTGATGCTGAAATCATGCACTTTGGTGCACATGCACTTGTTAGATGCAACTGGCAGTTCTTGGGACTTTTAGCTTGAGTCTTTTTTTTCTATTTGGTGGGTTTTTTCCTCAATGCTTCAGCTCCTCCAGTCATGGGATTATGAGAAATTCAGCATCTTTCCCTTTTTCTAAACAAAAAGGAAGGAGGCATTCAGTGCTTCAGGCTTGCTTGAACCAAGCTTGCAACCCTTAACAGAAGGACCGTTTAAAATCTTAAGTACACACGTACTATCTTTGAAATGCATTGTCTTAGTTTTTTATTTGAATCCCAGGATTTTTGGCAGCGTGACTCTTTTGACTTTTGGTTTCTTTGAACTTTGTTTGATGTCTGGGGTGAATGACTGTGTTAATTGGATAAGAACAATGAAGGTGGGTGTATAGCATCAGCAGAGACTTGGTGGGTGAAATCACAGCTTGGTCAGGAAATAGGTGGGGGAAGGAGAAAGGGAAGAGACCTGGATATACTTGCTTTGATGTTCAGGAACAATGAGACAGGCTCCTTGAATGTCTCTGGGTGATGATCAAAGAGGAAAAGGAGTAGGGGACATATTGTGATAGGGATCTGGTATTGAACACCTAATCAGAGGCAGGACAGGTTGTTGCTGAGATCTTGGCCCAGATGTCTATTAGAAAAGAGGTGTTCAAGTTCTTAGGCTGTGTTGGGGCAACTTCTTCTTCCAGAAGACAGGTAACCTCTGGGGGAGCAGCTCTTCTCTCTGTCTTTTATTTTGAGTAGAGGGGTAGTTGTCTGAGTAGACAGTGTATTAGTTTGAAACAAGCCAGAAGGCAGGGAAATGTGGCAGCTGGTGAGTAGTGGAAGGAATGAGAGCAACAGAAGAAGGCCATTGAGTTGCAATTAAATAGACTTTGACAATCTAAGGGATCTGGTAGGTGGAGTCTCATGGGAGGATCATTCAGCTCCATCCTCTTTGCAACCCCCCTGCAGGGAGGTGAAGGCTGCTATTTAATCCCTGCCTCCGTCTTCTCTTTTGCAGACTCAGTAAGCCCAGTTCCATCAGCTCCTCCTTGCAAGCCATGTGCATGCCTCCTTGCGCCTCATTGGCCATGCATAGGGGGTGCACATGGGTGCCTGTGCACCCCCTGAGATCGGCCGTGCACCCCCTGGAAGTGCCAGCTGCGAAACTGGAAGTGCACGTCCAGTTTTGCTGCTGGCTCGGCAATTGGCTACTGCCCCCTCTGCTCCATTGGTGATCTGGTGCCCCCCCATACTCGGGGGGGGGGGGGGGGCACCAGTTGCCCATGCCCAGCCCCCAAACCATTTTCGTTCCCCTCCACTGGTCTGTCTCCAATTTGTCCACATCCTTTCTGTAGTGGGGCCCAAAACTGGACACAGGACTCCAGATGTGGCCTCCCCAGTGCTGAATAGAGGGGAAAAATCACTGCCCTCAATCTATTGGCAACGCTTCTACCAGTGCAGCCCAGTATGCCAGTAGCCTTCTTGATACCAAGGGCACAGTGTTGACTCATGTCCATCTTCTCGTCCACTCTCACCCCCAGGTCTTTTTCTGCAGAGCTGCTGCCCAGCCCATCAGCCCCAGCCTGCACCGGTGCATGGGATTGCAGGACTTTGCACTTGTCCTTGTTGAACTTCATGAGAATGTGTAGGTCTTATTTGCTCTTTCCCCCATTAAATAACAG